CCCCATTTAGAATCAGGTCTCCCATACCATTTCTGTCTCAGTCTGAGGTTCTTTCCCTAGGAATAGCTTTTCTACATTCACTCAACTCTTTGGGGTTTGGGACTTTCTGCTGGGTCCTTTAGATACTACTTACAATGTTTCTCAAAGTCCTTATTGTAATTATAAACTTTCTTACTTCTTAGTCTCTTACCTAGAGTTCCTGGAGGGAAGCTTTTAAATTCTAGATCCAAGCAAAGGGGTTTGCAATCAGGATAAATAAACACTTTTTGATGAAGGAAGTTATCTATGTAAAAGTCTCTGGCAATCACTGAAATGTGCAATAGATTGCTGGTGGTGGCTTGTTTGTTGTTAAAAAGATGATATTGAGAAGAGCTATCTCCTAAGAGTAATTTAGTTATCACTAAAGGAAAAGTCAAGGCAAAGACAGTGGATTTCAGTTCTAAAAGGCCAGCTTAGTTATGCCAGATAACTCAAGTGAGTCCTTAATTTAGAGAGCTTTGCTGTCATAATAACCTAATTGCAATGTTAAGTGAAGTACTCCTACTACTGTTCTATAGTTAAAAAAATCCTAAACAAGATTCAGGAGAAACTATGGAGGAAAAAAAAGAGAAAAATGGAAAAAAAAGTTATACTGAATTATTTTACTTTTTATTCTTCTTCCTTACAATATGATCACAAAATCCAAAGGAGCACCTCACACCAGCCAGCAATAGCCAAAGTTCCTCTTAAAATATAACACATCATCACGTTATTTCTTTTTCTCAGTGGTGCCCTATTTTACTCACAGTAAAATAAAGAATCCACAGTGTGAACAACTCGACTCTCTGTGACTGGCCCCTGATCCTTCTCTGGCCCCATCTCTCACCACTCTCCTGAACCTCCAGTCCAGCCACACTGGTCCCCAGACTCTTCTTTGAATATATCTAGGATGCTCCCATGTCAAGGTCTTGGCAGACATTTTTTCTATGCCAAAAAAATCTTCTCCCCCAGACCCCAAAGCTCTTCCACTTTTTTTCAAGAATCTTTTCAAATATTATCCATTTAGACAATGTACCCATGTTCCACCTTTAAAAAAGAAGCAATGCTACCTCTCACCTGCTTATATTCTAGTCCTCTAAACCAAGTTCCCCCACCCTTATTGACACTTAACATTATTTATAAATACATATACTCATATAGATATGAGTATCTGCATATATTCATTTTAAACCTTAGAAATGAACATTTTTCTAGATTTAAAAAATGTTAAACTATAGTAAAGACAGAAAATACACGATAGCTATTTACAACTCTAAAGCTTTTTAAATTACCTGTTCCCAGCAATATGAGCAAATAAATGCAAGAGGACATGTGCTTCATTTGGGGAGTGAGTAAATAAACAGATGAGGAAAGAATTAAATACACTCTACTCATTCCCCTGCCTCTTATGGTAGAAGTCAGAAAATTTACAGTTGCATAAGGTGGTGGCTGCTAATTATAGCAAAACTGAATCTGGAATCTACTTCTTTATTCCAGTATAGTACCCTTTCACAACATGTTAATTCTTACTTAAGTACTTTTGTCCTAAAGTTTCTTAATAAAAATTATTCCTGACACAGCTTCCCTCTATACAGAATCATAAGAATTACTGTGATCAAATAATAAGAATTAATGTAATTAATGAATTATTGAGTAAATACTCAATGATTTAATAAATACCACTCCTAGAGAAATTAATGAAGATATATGGAGTTGTTTCTTTATTGTTCTAAAATATAGTAATAGCTATAATTGGTGTAATCATTATTTTTTGAACTTCCACTCTGCTCTAGGCACTTTAGCTATTTCTCCACTCCTCACAAGCCAGCAAGGTAGATTTTATTAGCCTCATTGTTCAAATACAGAAAATGAAATTTGGTGTGTCACAACACATTGCCAATATCACACAAAACCTAAAACAGGCTTCAGGATTCAGACCAAAGTCACCTATGCTAGCACCACAGTTCATCTCATGCCCCATGACCTTCTGTAGATAACAATGAAGAACTCGAATAACAACTGCTATAATTGAGCTTATCTGCTTGGGTGAAATTTTCCATGATCATGCTAGTGAGTGAGATTCCAAGCCAATCGCTGCCACTCTAGAGAAGCAAGGTGACAGTAACAAGGTCTGTCGGAATGCATTGTTAGGAAAGCAACGCATTTCTACTTATGTGATTAGGACCAAGAATACATCAGTCCTGGCCTTAGAGAATTAAAAGACAGGCATCCATAAGATATGTAAAATTTGGATAATCTCTACACTAGAAAGGCAAAGAGGGGGGAACAAAACATTAGATGAAAATGAAACCTTTGTATTTGTTTTCTTTGTTTGCTAGGAACAAGCATCTTAGAAAGCTTTACAATTCTAATTAACTATTGTGTATTCTCTGGCTTTGAGATGGCATAAACACATGTAAAAAAGAGAAAAGCCTTTTGAAAGGGCTTAGAAAGTAAAAAGTGAGTTTTTAATTTTCTTTTCATCTAATGTTAATTTATGCAGAAGTTAATAACAGATTTGTGGCTCTGAGCTGCCCATTGTGGAGAAGAATTTCTCTCTCAACCAGTCAGTCTCTCCTGCGATCCCTGCCATACAGAGCCGTCATTTCGGGGCTTATGACACTTTTACCAAAGGGAGGCAATATGCTGATTGCCTCACAGTCTACAGACACGCTGCGTTGCATTTCCTCTGAAAACCTGTGATATTAAATGTTCTGACTCTTCTCTAGCTTGTTACAAACAAAAGAGCAAACAATTGGAGGAGAGAGTGAAGGGGAAATTGGATGTGTAGGTGCACAGCAGTTGGGAAAGGAAGAGTACTGACTGCTGAAGGAGACAAAAGTCACAGGAAGGAGGGATTTCACAAAAGAAACAAGAGTTACTTTTATATCCCTACAGGGTATAATTAAATTGTTGTGTCTTTTATAAAGGAAAAACTGAATTCCACTGCTGCCAAATCACCTACGGAATAGAGACAATAGTGCTTGAAGAAGTACAAAATCTTCCTAAGTTGATGTTTTAAATGAATTCACCATGAATAAAGTTGGTCCCATAATGACAGCTTAAAGGTCTACTTCATAAAAATGTTATTAAAGTGCATTATTTATAGCTGCTTTTTGTGGACTTGGCTCTTATTCATGACTCTCACCATGTATGGTCATAATCACAGGCAGAGTGTATAATGGGAGCATTAGCTCAATATGGACTAAGGCAAGAATACTGTACCATCACAATAAAATTCCAGATGTATTCATTTAAAGGTAGAATTTACTGTACAAGGGCATTCCCTTTAAAAAAATGAAAATGGAAAGAATGTCTTCTATCTTATGGCCTCAAACATCTACTTTTATTCTGAGGTTTACTTTATAAGAATGACTAATTGACACAAACTTCTAAATGAAATATTTCTTCATCTACATTATTAAACTTAGAGACTTGGATTGTGAGTTATGATTTTATTGTGACTATGGCATTGATTTCTGATATACATGAAGAGTATTTCCAGGTACTCCATATTCTCATTAACCCCTTTTCTAGTGCATAACCATCAGAAGGTGATGTTTAGCAAATGCCAGGCTAATGTCCTAGAACACATGTTTATTTTAATAAGTTGGAAACCCCTTCCTACATCAAATTTTCCCAGAGAAGCTGAAAAGAATAATACTTAAAAGAATCTATTATTCAGGATTTTAAACATGGTTTCCATATTTAATATGTATGAACCTTTAGGAAATGGCAAAGTGAAGTTCAACCGGTTTATTTCCAACCGGAACTACCAGAGACTGACTTCTTGATTTTGTGCCTCCAACTGGGTGGCCTGTGACGGCACAGTGCAGACACGCTGAGACAGGGCGTGACTCTGCCTCTCCCACAGACAGCGACGTGGCTCTAGGAGTCACGAAAAAGAGTTCTTCATAGATTATACTTCCAACGCTGACAGAAAGGGTTGTCTCTGATACTGTAGGTAAAAAAAGGACGCCTAAGGGAATGAATTAACTCCAATATTTAACAGGATGCAGTCATTAGTAGATAAGCATTCACACTAGAACTGTTCATGGAATTTTTTCAGCATAGTAATATTCTCATGATAGTTCTGGGCAATGAACATCTTTGACTGCTTCACATCTATGCTTAAAAAACAAATGACAAAGGGAAAATATTTTAAATATAAGGTAAATAGCACGAGTAATTGAAGATAAAAAACAATTGATTTCTAACAATGACTGTGCTTACAGTTGTAGCAAACCTAAAAAAACCCAACAAAACCTGAACATTCTATCTCAATAACTTCTGTACTTCTGCATGGCTTTGTTATTTGAAATAAGTACACTTACCAGAACAAGTCCAGGGATGTCCAATTGCTACACCGCTATGGCTGGGCATTGAGTTTCCAACTGCCCCTCAGAACAAGACGATCTCAGGCCTCTGAGACAGAAATATTTCCTGAAGTTCACAGGCAACACATACTGTTCTATGTGGCATCCAGACTTCCTGCTACTCCTGGGTGCAAAAATGGTCTGAGCACTCTGGCTGATACAACCACTCAGAAAGGGCAGTGGCAGTTATGTCCCCAACACACTGCCAGACAAATGTCACCAGGCTCCAAATGCCTATTGACAAGAGGCAGATTTGAAACGCAGTTAAACCAAAATAGATACTGTGAATGGCTCAGTGTATTATTTCTAATAAAGCTGAATATATGAAAAGGTAACAAAAATAATTCTTTTAGCTTGCCTGTGTCTTTCTTAAGGAAATATGCTTTAATTTCATGTACTACTATTTCACTATAGGCCCTAGGTAAGTGTTTTGTTCAGGAAGCTCAAGATCTCTTCTTTATTAGTTGTAGACAATATTGACGGCCTACAATATTCTGCACTAGCTGCGAACCAGGCACTGTGCAGCGTGCTTTGTAAACATGATCTAAATTTAAGGAAGGTATTAGTATCTTACAAATGAGGAAAACAAGGCTTAGCAAGATTAAATCACCTGCTCAAAGTCACAGAGCTATCTGGAGGCAGAACTCACTTAACGGTAATCCTTCTTTCTAATCTTAGTTTTTCTTTTATACTAAACTTTTGTAAACAAAGTACTTTAAATTTCTCTTCCAGAAAAAGAAGGAGAAAAAAAGAAAGCTGAGAAGAAAATGACTTCTGAAACACAAAAGAAAGGTAAGGAATTTAAAAACTGTCCAACGCATAAATCGATTAGTATCCATTTATAATGCTGCTGGTAAAGCTATCGTTTTCTAGGGAAGAAATTTCCTCAATAATTTCATTGTTGTTAGTAAACACACTCTTAAGACTTATAAATATTTCAAATAAAGTTGAAATTCATGAATTTTTAAAAGAAAATTCAAGCCTAAACACTTTTAAAAATATATTATTGATTATTCTTTTTCTTAGGAGTAATTGTTTAAGTCTAACTCAGTACTTTACTTGGCAATACATATAAATATGATGACTACTATTTAATTCATTCTGTTTAATAAAAATGTCTTTCAAAAGAACAAATAACTTAATGTATTTTATGCCCTGTTATGTAAGAAGTAAACAGGTAGAGGGTAGAGGCTTATAACTTTCTCATTTTACTACCAGAAAAAGAAGATGTCAAAAAGAAAACTGAGAAGGAAGCTGCCACTGATGTGAAAAAAAAAGGTATTATACTTTCTTTGTTTCCTTAGTTATATTGTGTTTAGGATGTTTAAAAGAATCTTGGGGCTCCCTAGCTGCCATCTCACATCCCCGCAAGTGCACCCTTACTCTCAGCTGGTCTGCCGAAGACCTCTGAGCTCCAACCCCAGTGCTTGTGAGGCCCAGCTTCCTCTCCAACAAGATGAAAGAGACTATCATGAACCAAGACAAACTCACCAAACTGCAGGCAGAAGTGCTTACTGGTGGGAAAGGAGCTGCTCGTAGAAAGAAGAAGGTGGTTCACAGAAGAGCTACGGTAGGTGATAAAAAAAACTTCAGTTCTCTGTAAAGAAGTTAGGGGTAAACAATATCCCTTATGCTGAAGAGGTAAGTATGTTCATGAACCAAGAAACAGTGATCCACTTGAACAAGCCTAAAAAGTTCAGGCATCTCTGGCAGTGGACACTTGACCATCACAGGCCACGCTGAGACAAAGCCGCTGGCAGCAATGCCGGTCAGCATCTTAAATCAGCACAGCGCAGACATTTGACTAGTTCAAGAAGACTTGCCACAGCTCTGCCCAAACAGTCTGTGGATGGAAAAGCACCACTTGCTACAGGAGTGGATGATGATGACAACATCCCAGATTTTGTGGAGAATTTTGATAAAGCTTCCAAGAATGAAGCAAACTGAATTGAATGAACTTTGGAAGAAGATAAACTTGAAGAAGTTACTGGGAGCCATTATTTTAGAGTATGACTGCTTTTTCAAATTTTGTTTGTGGATCGGATAAAATCTACATCCCTAATATTTTCAAGCCCTAGCTCCTTGGACACTCTATCTCTGTTCAGTGTTTGCTTCTACACAAATCATTCCTTGAAGTTGATTAAGCTGAAAAAGCCTGGGAATAAAGTTTGAAACAAAGGTTAATGAAGTTCTTTGCCTAATAAAAATAAAATAATCTTGGGGGCAAATTAAACAAATTGGATATAGATACTTAAATCTGTCTACATACAGATGTCAAAAAAAATTGCACCAGATACAGATAAATAGGAAGGAAGACTTTATTCAAGCTTTTGCAATGGGGGCAACAGACTAGAACTTGTTCTGAACCTAATTCCACTGAAACAAAAACAGGAGAGCTTTTGAGAGATGAAATGGGATGCAGGGGTGGGGAGGACAGAATGTAGGTCATCTGTATTTGTTAATTACCCTTACTCAAAAGAAAAATAAACTTTCTCTGATCTTCATGATAGGAATGTATTGTAGTACTACCATTTGCAGCAAGGCACCCACCAGAGTTAGATTCTTACCCTCCCACAAAAACTGGGAAATAAAGGTACTCTCTTTCCTGATGATTACATTTCAAAGGAATAACTCCCAGGTCCGTGCAAAAGATATTCTTGTGTTGTAAAACTGGAAAGATGTTTTTAAAAATTTATACCTCAAAGGAACAGAGAAATAATTTAAGATTATAAGTTTTTCTGCATGTAATTTTCTAAGAAAAGGGTGGTCAGGAGCCTAAGGTCAGGACAAAGGTCACCTTAAGTTTAGAGTACCTGATGGGGCCTTCAGGCTGTGCCGGTGAAGCCCTAATGAAATTGAGAGGCAACGCATAGCACAATAACAGCACTTTGGAAATACAAGAAGTTGAGAGAGAGTAATGCATGCCATTACGAAATGGGGTTGTTGAACAGCTTAGATTTTTTCTTTAAATTTAGTTCTGCTTTTATTCTTGTTCAAACATGAATATTTGCTTCTATTCAGGTTCAGCTTAAGTCCAGGTAGTAAAAAATGCAGTCATCTCAAGAGTAATGGTTTGGTGATAAGTGTTCTTACCCCAAATGTTTCCTCCACTAGTGTCAGTGATGCTTAAAATCTCATCATTAGAGATATTACAATTCCTTTGAGTTATGAAGAAATTGTCCTCTATTAAAGTGCAAGGCTTAGGGCCAGTGTGTATGGGGTAACAGACTAATTCCTCTCAGATATTAACACTTAATGTGAGTAAGATTTCCAGATCTTTCCTGTACAATAATACCCTGGAAAATGAGTCAGCAGGTAAGTTTTATGATGAAGAGGTTGAAGGGAAATTTTTAAGATAGGAACATTCCAGCTGGATGGCATTAGTGAACCTCCACTGAGAAAGTGATAGAATAGGTGGGGGCTGGGGGCGGGGAGCCGGTGGTGAAAGACACTGAAAAGTAGATTTCAGGATGCCAAATTAGACATCGATTACTCTTAGTAACAAAGAAGAATTTTAGAAAATCCTGACATCATGCTACAAATTGTGGGGGCAACTTTGCCTGCAAAGTGCCCCTGTCCGCCACGGATGAAAGTGAAACTACCAAGACATGATCTGCTTGGGGAGGAGAGGTGGTCAGTCTCTCAGAGGAGAAAGACCTAGAGCCTTTTCCTCAATGGGCTTTCACTGGGTTTGTTTTGCACAAGAATACAGTTAAGGATTAAAAAATAGATAGAGTTCAAAGAACTATGAGGGCTTATTCTCAGTCAGGGTCACATTGCTAAAGAGCCACAAAACTTTGAGGAACAAACTTCTTGCTCGGACCCTTATCATTTAAATGAGAGCATTCTAAACAAAGCAGGTTTCACAGGATTTTCCATATTCTTTCTTATGCCCAATCACCCCGCATCCCACTCTAGCTGGCAAAGGGCTGCACCACCTCCCCCATCATAGACTTTTAGGTTTAAGTGGATTAGAGCCAGGAAGCACTTCTCTCAACAGAAATGGGGACTCAGGCTATGTCAGAATAGCTGGGGGATGAGGGTCCATCACTCCCTCTTCGTTATAGCCCCCTGAGTGCTTGATGGCCTCCCAAGTGATCGTGTCTAGTTTAGGTTGCCCCCCCCCAGGGGTCTTACCCACCATAGACTAACTGACCAAGCGCTGGGAACAGGGGATGAAGCAGAAGCAGTGCTGCTGCCAGAAAGATAAGCTTTGTCTCCTAGTGGCTCACAGTCCAGAGGTCGCTTACTCAGCCTTATCCATGGGGGGCAGTTACAACTACTGAAACCAGGCAGAGCGGTTCTCAACAACAAATGGGGTACAAAAAATTTTAGAACATTGAATTCACATATAAAATTGATATATCATTGATTTGATATATAAGTGAAGTAGAATATATTGTAGAATGTTGAACTGCATGATTGTGTAGCTCATGAAATATCCAGTGAGTGATAGCCAGATGTTCTGTGGATCTGGGAGTTGATTGCAAATTAGTTTGCATTTGAAATTTTTCTTATCTAGGACATGACTGTAGAGTTTATTACATTATTGAACATTTACTAATTTTTACGTAAAACTTCATAACCCTGATGATACATATATGTGCACATACATACACATATTGTGTATATATTACATATATGTGTACATATTTATATGTGTATATAATATACATAAAATAAGACAAGGAAACCACAGTTCTGCTACATGGTGATGATGCTGAGAAATGGATTGTTGCTCGGGTCAGTGTGTCTGACAGTTACATGAGTGGGTGCTCAAAAGAAACAAAGTTCTTCCTAGACCATCAGTTTTCCTGAAATATTTACATTATAAAGTTTTGAATTATAATGTTCAATATAGTTATCATATGTATGCAAAAGCAGAAAACAAACTTTTGGCAAAACTCAGTGGTGCGTGTGGTGGTTGTTTTGGTTTTAGTTTTTGAGAGGAAAGGCAAACATGTTCATGTGCAGTGAGTGATGGGAAACCTGATGTTTCTGTGCTCCTGGGAGACCGGTGTGATTAGCCCAGCAGTCATGGTAAAGTGAGGCTGTGCATCGCTGTACGAGAACTGATTATGCCAATATCACTCCCTGCAAGGCCAGTGCTCATCCACTGAAGCAGAGACCGAATCGGCTGAGTGCTCAGCACATCTGGGGAAGGGCTGCTCACGCTCAGCTAGTGTTGAAAAACAAGTTTGTCTTTCTTCTAACTAGTTTTCTGTTTGCTTGTCATTTTTCTTTTGAATACACAAAATACCGTTGGCTCTTACAAATCAGTTCAACATACAAGCTCTTAGTCCCCAAATGCTCAAATTGTGTGTGTGTGTGTATGTGAAAGACAGACATGTTTAATTAGTGCTAGTTTTTAATTTGTATCTTTCTTTAGAGTTTGATCTTTCTTCCAATGTATTTTTGTGTTAGAGCAATGTGTTTTAAAAGAAGTCAGTTTGAAACTGTTATGAAACTAGTAAACATTTCTTGAGATAATGAGAGAAATTGATAATGACCTGACATCTTGCAGAGCTGGGGGCACATATGTCATGTCTTTCTAAAGCAGTTGGAGAAATATGGCAAAACATATGACACTAGTGCTCTAGTCCCAAAGAGCAGCACATGTACAAGGCATAAGATATGCCGGATGCTTATTTAATATATCCATGATATTTTACCATGAGTTTACCATGAGTTTTACCATGATATTTTACTATATGTATATTAGCTTTTTAGTATTTATGTGAATCTAACATACATCTATTTATGTTATTGGATATTGTCATACTTTATCCAGTTAAATTTTTGTTAGGTAGATGTAAAAGAACCTTAGAACCTTAGGCTGAGATTCTGTTGTGAATTTAATGAGCCTCTATTGCATGAAACCAGTAAATCACATTTTGGTAATAGTGACCTATGTTAGAGAATAGTGGGTGGGATTTTATATGATATAAAATTTCTAGCCCATCAATTAATAATGGTTGAAACTGGGGAATTGGTGCATCAATTGGTGAGTTTATTATAATACTCTCTTGCTTTTTATATTTTTGAAATCATCCATGATGGAGACAAATAAATAAATATCTATCATTTAAGAAACATTGTATGAGCCCTGACTGGCATAACTCAGTGGATTGAATGAGGGCTGTGAACCAAAGGGTCACTGGTTCGATTCCCAGCCAGGGCACATGCATGGGTTGTAGGCCGGTTCCCCTGTAAGGGGCAGGGGAGAGGCAATCACACGTTGATGTTTCTCTCTTTCTCTTTCTCCTTCCCTTTCCCTC